TTATTTATTTTTGATTCTTTGGATTTGGTCTCATTAACTTGTGTTTATAATCTATAATCCAAATTGTGCCTTATCTTAATTATAAATAACAGCCTCAAAATGTAGATAAACTTCAGCATGCCAGCTTAGTGGACATGTAACCTTAAATAAGATAATAATAAATTTGAGAGTCAGTCAGGCAAGGTGCAAGTAAAAATTGTCAAGATTACCTCAGACAAAATGGAAATTTCCTAAATTATCACGTGGACCCTTCCCTGGGTTCTTCCATAAGTCATTAGGGAGTTTTACGACTGCCGCTGGATGACAAACATCTCATAAGACCCTCCTGGACCTTGTCTGTGTCGGATTGCCTCTCTTAGGTGCCATTCAACCTGCCTTATCCTTTCTGTATTAACCCTGACGTCTCTGAAGCCACAAGGCCTTTGTGGTGCTACATGCAACAGCAACAACAAAAAGCTTTATTAAGACCTTATAGTCTTATACAGATTCTCCAAGCAGAAATTTAGGATACATGCAGGAAAAAAGTAATTGTACCTTAATGGTAATATGATATTTATATACAAGATAAATTATATAAAGACAATCAAGCTAATAGATTAGTCTGGGTAAATTGGAGGAAATGTATTATACATGGAGGTGCTATATATGTAAATAAGACATATCAATATTGATGGAAAAACTAGGTATGACTCAATCTAGCAGACAGATTGGTGACACCAGAATGTCTACCTGGAGACCATGGTTTTGTGTTATGGCCCTCCTTGCTGCTATTGCTTGTGGTGCTACATGTACATATGTAAATAAGACATCAATATTGATGGAAAAACTAGGTATGACTCAATCTAGCAGACAGATTGGTGACACCAGAATGTCTACCTGGAGACCATGGTTTTGTGTTATGGCCCTCCTTGCTGCTATTGCTTGTGGTGCTACATGTACATATGTAAATAAGACATCAATATTGATGGAAAAACTAGGTATGACTCAATCTAGCAGACAGATTGGTGACACCAGAATGTCTACCTGGAGACCATGGTTTTGTGTTATGGCCCTCCTTGCTGCTATTGCTTGTGGTGCTACATGTACATATGTAAATAAGACATCAATATTGATGGAAAAACTAGGTATGACTCAATCTAGCAGACAGATTGGTGACACCAGAATGTCTACCTGGAGACCATGGTTTTGTGTTATGGCCCTCCTTGCTGCTATTGCTTGTGGTGCTACATGTACATATGTAAATAAGACATCAATATTGATGGAAAAACTAGGTATGACTCAATCTAGCAGACAGGTTGGTGACACCAGAATGTCCACCTGGAGACCATGGTTTTGTGTTATGGCCCTCCTTGCTGCTATTGCTTGTGGTGCTACATGTACATATGTAAATAAGACATCAATATTGATGGAAAAACTAGGTATGACTCAATCTAGCAGACAGATTGGTGACATCAGAATGTCCACCTGGAGACCATGGTTTTGTGTTATGGCCCTCCTTGCTGCTATTGCTTGTGGTGCTACATGTACATATGTAAATAAGACATCAATATTGATGGAAAAACTAGGTATGACTCAATCTAGCAGACAGATTGGTGACATCAGAATGTCCACCTGGAGACCATGGTTTTGTGTTATGGCCCTCCTTGTGGTATACAGAGTCTTCTAGATTGAAAAGACAGTGACTATATTTTGCTTCATTTTGATGGGAGAGGTGTATTTAATATTTTAGGAAATGTAGGATTGAGCTATGGATGAAGCGCTAGATGGTGGGAGTAAGAAATATATAGATTCACATGTTTGTGAAATTTGACAAATTGCGCAAAAGACATAAGACACTGCTACTCTTTTTTTACTCTAATACAGTAGAACAAACTCCCTGTAAAGGACATCTAATTGCATAGCCAAATTGTCCTTTAGGGAGAGGTTTCCTCTTACCAGAGAGTGTCGAAATAGTAAAAATGGTAATTTTGGGAATGAAAACTGTCCTTTGTAGAGAGGTGTCCTCTTGTGGAGGTTCTACTGTAGAAAAGAGTTGCGGCAGCCTTTTTTTGTAATATAGAACTGTGTTGTTGTAACTAAAGGTGACATTTCTTATCCTTACTTTTCCTCTATTATCATTTTAATATATATACTCATTGTGACAAAGGAAGTTTTATATTTTGATGTCGCTGGTTGTCTTGAAGAAGACAGAGATTGTTCACACTTGGTCATCTCATGAGTCTTCAATAAAGGTCACTGTAATATCTTTCAGAGTTATTGTCCTGATATACATGCTAAAAGGTACAACTTCCTTAAGTTTTGTCTCCATGAGTGTATATTTTAATACATTTACTTATAATTAGTGATATCCCCATACACATAATAGTTCTAATTTATACAGAGTGTGCCTATAGAAATTAGTGTTAATTCCTACTAGACTGTTTATCTAACACACATATATAGTGAGACCTTGTTATAACAGCTTCTCTTATAACACAGCAAATTGGATATAATATGATACAGTAAAATTCCTCTATAGGTAACCCCGATGGAACCTGTGGTTCACTATAGCTTATGTTCGTTATATAGCCATATTTCACTGTATTATAAAATATAAAATGGGGATTATTTCAGGTTGGTTATAAGGGAAGATTCTTTATATCCTTGTATTTATGACAATCAAATTTGTTTCATCGAAGAAGTTGGAAAGGATTTCTCCTCTTTGATTATCCTCATGAGATCCCCACAACTGGCTTTTGCCGTTGAAGTCACCAAGAATGATAGCATTATCTTCCATGAGGCTGGCTATGGGATTTAATGTTGGTCCTGGTTTGTTTGGGGGATGGTAGCAGTTGAAGATATTGATTGGCTTTCTATTGGTTTCTAAGATTTGTGTCCCCAATATTTCTGTATTTGTTGTGATATTAATTTTCTCAAATGAAACTCTCTTGGTGAGTACCACCAATTAAGGATTATAAGCCCTACTAAAATGTCCACCCTGAGCTGTATTCCTCCAATCAATCAGAGGAGGTACTGGCTGAGTGGAATTCCACACCTCTTATCTCCTCTTTCACCCAAATAAACTTGGCTATCACAAGTACCTATAGATTAGGATTGACCACTGGTCTTGTTTTGTTCTTCTTATCTGGTCAGAACTGATGCAAAGTCTTCCCTGTTTGAGAACTATATCTCTCCATGACATTTGGGGGTCGGTGGAAGGCTGGTTAAACCGTTTGGTTTTCGACCACTACGACCCGGGTTCGATTCCCGCATTGGACACTTTTTTCTGTTTAAAAAACAACAACAAAAAAAAATGCTACAATGGGCCCCGATTCTTGCAAAAGTCCAACCCCACCAGCGAGTGCAAGTAACCAAAAGGGGCTCTGGCACATTTGTAAGTGCAAAGTCGAACTGCTTTTCACATGTGTAGACATGTGGTGCGCTTACAGTAAAAGCAGTCGCTAACTACCCACCATGATTATCATGGCTTTGAGATAAGAAAGAAGAAGATGACATTTGATCAGTGACTCAATATATTTTATGTCCACTTCCCACAGTCCCTCCACTCACACTTCTGAAATATTTGAATTACCCCCATGACTTCATATCACTTCCTTCCCCCAATGATAGCCCAACCTCTACATTTTATTTTCATATTTGAGCTCACCAAAAACACATTTTGGTTTGCATTAGATGCACTATACAGGACCTTTGGGAGAGGCCGCTGTTTATCACCAAACAGCTCGAGGAGCTCATGAAGAATTTGTGTAATCTTTGTACAAGCGGATAAAAAAATAATAGATTTGAGCTTGCTGCCACTTTATGTTTTCTTCAAATTTTTTTCACATTTCTGAATGTTTATTTTTGTGAAGTATATCTTCACAGATGGGCAACAATTTATTTACAATACACAGCAAAGGTTGACCTTTAATGGAGGCTTATGTCAATTCTTGAGGCAACCTCACCCATTCTTACCTGTGCAATTTTCTATGATGTTTTTATTTACAGTGTAGTACTTTAAATAACTCTCTCTTTTGTATATCTTGAGATTTACATTCAAGAATATTTAATAAAAATTTCTATTATTATATTGTGATAATGCACAATTTCAGTACTTTTGTCTGAAGATGGTAACAACACTGTTACCGAAACATCACACACTATTTATTTGGATTTAGTCTTATTACCTTGTGTATTATTATATTGTTTTTGAAAACTCTTCCAGAGAAGTCTCTAACTAATGTTTTCATAGGAGAAGTGCAGGAACACATAGAGCTTTAAAATTACAAATATTTTCTCAAAATGAGTTTCTTTTTATTAAAAAAATGCTAGCTTTCAAGTGATAATCTCTCTTCAGCGGGCTTAATAAAATTTCGACTTTATCTTACCAGAAATATTTACAAAAACAAACGTGCGCAGCGTGGATATCCATTTATTAATATCTGTACTGCCCGCGTTTGTTTTTGTAAATATTTCTGGTAAGATAAAGTTGATATTTTATTAAGCCCGTTGAAGAGAGATTATCACTTGAAAGCTAGCATTTTTTTAATAGAAAGAAACTCATTGTGAGAAAAGATTTGTAATTTTAAAACATTTTTCACAATTTTCTCATGAACATAGAACTTTGTATGTACAACCGGCTCCAATTCTATAGACCAATTGGTGGAGAGGAGTTAGCTGTAAGTGTGTGTGTACAGTAGGATCATCATGGCAGGGATCGTGGCAGGGTCAGTGAGGGCCCTCATGGAGTGTCCCATGGAGTATGCCAAGGTGAGACCAAGGCTGCACCAACTATCCACTACTGACAATTGTCTCCCCAGATACGGAGACAGACCAATCAGAACTGGAAGCTGAGGCACTGCTACACTGTAAGTCTGCTACTGACACTACTCTAGTTCTCAAAACCATTTGTTGACTGGGACTATCATACTTTCTAGTGCTCTCCTGAAAACACCATTTTTATGGAGAGATCATGTATATATATTAACACTGGACTCTCTTCAAACAAGATCATGGACAATAGCCTACCGCACCCAGTGTTCCCAGGTGGTCACCCTCCCTAGTACTGCCCGGGCCCGACATTGCTTAACTTCGGTGATCGGACGAGAACCGGTGTTTTCAATGTGTTGGCTATTACCTTTAGCCTAAGATCATGGACAAAACTTAAGGAAGTTTTATCTTTCAGCATGTATATCAGGATTCAGATAATAGCTCTGAAAGATATTACAGTGACCTTTATTGAAAACACACGAGATAATCAAGTGAGAACAACCTCTGTCTTTAAAAAAAAAAAAGATGATCGGCGATATCAGACATTCCACTTACTCAAGTATGTCCATGAGTGTATATCCATGTTATAAACACTTACACTCAGCTGATAAAGCACAATTTGAATTATAGATTATAATACAAGAAAATAAGACCTAATTCAAATAATTTATTAGTGTGTGTCGTTTCAGCAACAACATTGTCACCATCATCAGAGACAAAAGAACTTTAAAAAAGAAAAAAAAAAAAGAAAAAAATGTTTTTTTTTTCTTTTAATTTTTTTTGTCTGATGATGGTGACAATGCTGTTGCCGAAATGTCACACACTAATAAATTATTTGGATTAGGTCTTATTTTCTTGTATTTATACTCAGTATTACAAAGAGAAGAATATCTGTGGATTAACCTTTTCCAAGCTAGATCAGGAGCCCTTACAGGATACTATCAGCTGAGCCCAGGTGTTTCAAAAAGCTTGTACCCGCTCCTCCATCCAAGTTTGGGGCCGGCAAGTTCTTAGTAGTAAAAATTCAAATTAATATAGTTTGGAAAAGAAGTAATAGAAGTGAATATTAAAACAAAGCAATAACGCGCCATCTATACATATAAAATGAAAGGATTTAAAAGCACAAATATTTCTTTTAAAACACAATACAAACTTCTACTGTCCTTACGTGATGAAAAATTTTTTTCATCACAGTAAGGACAGTAGAAGTTTGTATTGTGTATAAAATAAACATTCGTGCTTTTAAATCCTTTCATTTTATAAGAGTGAATATATTGTGTAATTTGTGTTTGTGTCAGGGGATGGGAATCACTCTAACTAGGAACCTGGGACTCCTGTCTTCCTTCTTCATCCTCCTGGACTCTGGCAAGAGACATTTCCCGGAGCAGTTTGCCCACCCTGTGTACGGACCTTTCATCATCTGTGGCAGTGCCTCCACCCTAGCCTGGTTATCCGTGTGGCCCCTGGAAGTGGTCAAGTCCCAGGTCCAGACCAACTATGCTGATGAGTACGTAGACATCATTTTTTTTTTGCTTATCTCTAGTACACGTGGTACAGGCCATGATAATCATGGTTGGGTAGAAGGCGACTGCTTTTACTGTAAGTGGACCACATGTCTACACATGTGAAAAGCAGTTCGACTTTGCACTTACAAATGTGACAGAGCCCCGTTTGGTTACTTGCACTTGCTGGTGGGGATGGACTTTTGCAAGAATTGGGGGCCATTGGAGCATTTTTTTTTTTTTTTAATCATAAAAAAGTGCCCAATGCGGGAATCGAACCCGGGTCGTAGCGGTCGTAGTGTATCATGTAGTAGACATCATGGAGAAGGAAAGAGCTGTTGGTCTGAAGACCTGGAAGTACCACTCAGTGTGACTTTGTTTCTTTTGGTCTCCTGACATGGAGTGCAGTCGCCCTTCGTAGCTGCTCCTATGGAGAACAGACAATTGATACATTAGCCAAGTATGTAACACAGGGTGGCCCTACCAGGAGTTAAACTCCCGACGTCCTGTGCTACCTGTTTACACCCTCCCGCCACTTTGAGGCTGTAGGATAAGATTTTGGGAGGTCTGATGAGTAAGTAGGTCCATCTAACTTCTAGTATTTTGATCTTTTCTTATTTAATCTGATTTCACAATGTTTTTGTTTTTAGGATTTGTATTTTTACGCACTTACCTTTTTCATATGTAATTATATCTAAAAGCGTACCTAACTATGTAAATTTATCATTACCAACATATGCAAATTTTAACTTTTGTTTTTGTCCACCTTGATTCTTTTTCTTCAAAATGACCATTATTTATTCCTGCCATTACTTTAAAAAAAATATATTTACATGTGCATTCTTATTCACATATTTTCCTTTTTGTACATATTACCTTTTGCCTACTGATTATTGCTTTTTCACAAATATGCCTTTTATTTTTCTTATAATCATTAAATGTTTTCCACTTATCCTTTGCTAATGTAATTTTCATATTGTTTTCAATGTTCTTCATATTCTCATGTTATACTTTTGTATTTATCATTCATTTTATTTTTCTTCCTCATATTAATGATATATGTGTAACATATATGTGTAATATATGTTTAAAGTCACCCTGTTTACCATACCTCAATTGTAAATACTCTATCTCTCCCTTTTCTCTTGTGTTTAATATTGTCTGTAATTCCACGGCGAATCCGTACAGGGCAAGACGCCCTAATAAAGTTGTTTTGTTGTTGTTGTTGTAAGTAGGTCCATCTTACAGAGAACAGAACTCTTGTACAGTACCTCTCTATAAAGGAAAGTTTACAAATTTACCCTTTTTACTGGGGAACAGGACAGTAGATGAAGGGTCTAAACGATTTATTTTCAACCACTATGACCCAGAATCGAATCCCACACCTTGGGAAATTTTTTTCTAATTAAAAAAATGCTCCAATGGCCCCCTGATTCTTTAGAAAGTCCAACCCCACCAGCGAGCACAAGTAACCAAACCAAGCTCTGGCATACTTTCAAGTGCAAGAGTCTGAAGTCAAAAGTCACCATAGCTCTCTCATTATTATATCTTTGCAGTAAGGGCAGTAGAAAATTGCTTTATTTACAAAGAATCATATTTTATGAAAAAGGCATCTCCTTATCGTGAAACTGAAAGTTGCTGATGGCTTGCGCCATCTATTGGAATAAATATCAACTATTCTCGTTGATTTTTAATTATTTCAAAATTGGCCAAATACCTATTCTTGATTAATCAAGAAAAGCTAACCACGGACACGTTTCGGGCTGTTGGCCCATATTAAAGAATCATATGTGTCATAAATAAATCAAATTTCGTGTATTCTGTTGATGGATCTTGGAAATATAAGAGTTGGCAATCTGCCCTAAAATAATGGTGGTTACCACATTCTTTATGTTAGAAACACAAGGTGATAAAACCAAATAAATAAATTTGGTCTTATTACCTTGTTTTTCTAATCTATATTCCAAATTGGCTTTTCTTGATTTATCAAGAAATTGGGTTGGCCAAATATCAGGGAACAGGCTAAATCAATGTTTATTTGATTTCTGTTCCACCAGATGGCGCTCTGTCTTCTGTAAAGCACATGTGCTCCTGGTCAGGATACGTTTTCTTTATTTTTTTTATAATCCAAATTGCAGCTAACTAGCCTTGTATTTATTGTTTGTGGAAGAGCATTGCTCGATGCAAATATTGAAATGTAATTCTACTGTCCCAAAAGCTTTATGTCCACAGTTTACTTAAATACCATAACTAATATTCCACCCTTCAGTGTAGCATATATAAGAAGCAGTCTGGTAGATTAAATTGGTGAAACCGCTGGGAGGGTATTATTAGTAGGGACAGTAGAAGTTTATTTTATGTGTTAAAGAAGAGAGCTTCAGATCCTGAACTCTTTAAAAGAGAATTTTCAAGTGATGACATCAACATTGATATTTACTTTGGAATTCTTCAGCTCATAGGAAGAATAACTTCTTAGGTCCATTGAAGTCTATCAAAAATGATAAAGCACAATTTGGATTATAATTATTATTATTAATAGGCTAATCCCTTAATAGAATGTTAAAAAAATCAATAAGCTTGAGGGATGAGTAATCTAAAGATACTTATTGAAATTTTAACAATTTGGATTATATTATAATACAATAAAATAAGACCTAATCCAAATAATTTATTAGTGTGTGACGTTTCGGCAACAACATTGTCACCATCATCAGACAAAATGAAAAAAAAAATAAATAAACAAACATTTTTTAATGTATAAAAGAAACTTTCGTGTTTTAATGCCTTCATTCCTTATATATATAGATGGCATGTTATAATCCAAATTGTACCCAATCATTCTTTATATAAAAAACTTCCACGCTCATTGTTGTGCACAGAAAGATGAGCTCCTTCCAAAGGTTGCGCAGGATCATCAAAAACAAAGGAGGTTTCCTGCATCTCTACAGAGGTATTGCGCCAGGTTCCTTGCGCAGCTTCCTTAGCAACGGTGCAAGTATGGCAGTGATGACCTTTGCCCAGCGCAAGGTCACTGAATACGGCCTTCGCTCCTGAAGTTATTAGACATGTTTGTGGCATGCTATTGGCCACTTAGCTACATATCTCACCTACAACAGTGGGACAAACAAACAATCTCACTTTGTTTTAAACCCTTTTTTATATAATGAATCTTATTTTATCATATATATTTTATATTTGCATATACATATTGGTAGATAGCTTTTACAATATAAGAACTGCCTTTTTTTATATAATTTATAAATATTCCAATGACAGTATAGAACCTCCATGAGGGGACACACTCCACACACAAATGAGAGTTTTCATTACCAATTTGACTACTTTTACTAAATAACAACTCTCCAGTAATGATAAAGCACAATTTGGATTATAGATTATAATAAAAGAAAATAAGACCTAACCCAAATAATTTATTAGTGTGTGACATTTCGGCAACAACATTGTCACCATCCTCAGACAAAATAATAAAAGAATATACATATATATATATATTTTATTCTTTGTCTGATGATGGTGACAATGTTGTTGCCGAAACGTCACACACTAATAAATTATTTGGATTAGGTCTTATTTTCTTTTATTAAACTCTCCAGTAAGAGGACATCTCTCTGTAAAGGACACTTTGTAACGAGGTGTTGTTGTCCTTTACAGGGATGTTGTATTAATAATTTCTTTAAGATTTTTCAAAAACTATCTTAAAATAAATAAAAAGGCATCTCCTTATCATTCAACTGAAAGTTGCTGATAGTTTGCGCCATCTATCAGAATAAATATCAACTATTTGTTAATTTTTAATTATATTCCAGAATAATCAATGAAAAATCAACAAATAGTTGATATTTATTCT